GCATTTTGGTCCTCACAAAGCTGGGCAGACAAGTCAAGTGAATCCCACAATGTTAAAGGGTCCGTTCACCCAAATCCAAAAAAAAACAACAAATACATATTTTCATTTACCCATCAAAAATAATCATTTAAACATTACCCTGTTTTTATGAGGCATATTTCGTCATGAATCGTCATGACTTCAGTGATCCCTTGACTTTTCATCTAGCGCCATCATCTGGTCAAAATTTCTCTTAGTCCAATCATTTGTTTTGATCAATCACCTGCAAACTAAATAGTCTCAACTACACTTAGTGTTCAGTGGTAACTGGCAAATGTTAGCATGTAAGATGTGAACATGGTAAACACACCTGCTAAAGATAGCATTGTCATTCTGAGCATGTTAGCAAGCTGATTTTAGCATTTTACTTCACAAGTACAGCCTCAAATTAAGTTTCATTAATCTCCATTGTGTTGGTGTGGAGGCAGAAAACTCGTAAATTTTATGATTTGGGTCAACTGGACCTTACCTTTTAAGACCAAGCAACTACTATATTAGGGAGTTGAACCACACATAGTAGGAGATGCTCAGACAGATATTCATTCATTTATATAAAAGTTAGATACATGTAATGCATCAGTTACTACACACATTTTAGGGTGTTTGTTTTTGTCAGAAATGTCAAAAGTGATGCAGCATGACTTGTTTAATGGTAATGCCAGTCAATCTACAATGCATACGTCTGTGGATTTACTTAAATATACAGTACAAGAAATGCAATAACATTTAAGTAATTTATTCTGAACGTTGGACCTGCAGGTGAAAATTGTTGCTAGCTAGTAGCAGCAGTTCGTGGCTTATTTGGTCATTAAGCTAGTAGCAATCTTGCATACAAGGCTTCTCTTCTCTCTGTTTGAGAAAATCTGTCCCTGAAGTTTATTTAATAAAGAAAATGGCTCTATTATGTTCACATCCAAAGAAATGTTACTTGGCTTAGCATTAAAACTAAAGATTGATGGATTTAATGAGTCATGAATATGTTAATGTCCTGTTTTCAGTTTATTTCTAATATAAATAAAGATATAAGATATTAAAGACACCATTTTACATGGCTGTAGAGTTTTATTACAGCAGCCTGCAAAGCTGAAACAGAAAAAAGCAGACAGCAGCAGCAGCTTAGTTTAGCTTAGCATAAAGACTGCAAACAGCTAGCTAATGATCAGGAAGTCACTACGCCAGGCCAAGAAATTGTCTGGCACATATTCTGTGTTAAGGCCACAATGTGCTGTTTCAGTGCACATTAAACAAACAAATACAATGAGTTAATCAGTGAGCTTTAGAGGTGCTGATAAGATAGGTTTCATCTAAACAGAAGCACTGATGTTTCCTCGAAATGTTATGCTAATCTACTCTAAGCACCTGCTGGCTGTAGTTTCATCTTTAGCAAACAGACATGGAGTGGTATAGATTTGTTTTTTATCTACCTCTAGTCAACAAAGCGAAGAAGCATATTTCCCCAACGTCAAACTGTTGTTTTGACTCAGGGTCCAGTGACTGGCTTTTCCACCGCTTTAAACTTTATCTCAGTTTTTCTCGGCAGATGGTTTGTTTAAGTCCACAACTGTGCAAAGGAAGAACTTTATAGAATCAGATTTGTGCCAAGAGAATCAAACTAACTGAAGCTTTTTGAAGTAATTTTGTTTAATTTAATTAATTAAATTTATCCTTCAGCTGGTGCTTTTATCCAAAGCGACTTAGAATTACTATATATATCAGAGGTTGCACGCCTCTGGCAATTAGGGTTAAGTGTCTTGCTCTGGGACACATTGGCGGATGTCGTGGTGGGATTCGAACCCGGGTCTCACACACCAAAGGCATGTCTTATCCGCTGGCCCATCGCCACACCAAAGTTTACAACTTCCTTTGATATTTAAGAAGTTTTGTTTGACTAAATTGGCACAAATCTGATTCCATAGACCTTGAGTTCCAGAAAGTCTAGTATGTCGGTCAGGAGTTAAACGACTATAATCAATACTTTATAATAATAATGTATCAAATGTGAAAACAATGTGAAAGCAGCTGCTCGTAGTATAGACCTAAAGAGAATTATCATCTGGATGCAGCTCCTCTTGGCTTTATGGAGCTTTATATTGAGTTTCGGCTCATTGTTTACCTGTTGACACAAAACTTTACTGTTCAGGTTCACTCAGCGCTCTCAGTTTTCAGAGAAGAAGCTGTGAAAAACCCAACTGTGCACAACCTGCTCAGGAGGAAGCAGACACATTTCGAGATGAGCTGGTGAATTTTCAGTTATTTCCCTACTCAGGAGGTGGTGGAGACCAAAAACGGAGCTAAAAGAAAGGGAATATTGGACTTACATTGATCAGGTGACACAACATGACTCCAAATGAATGACAATGTTGCTCTGTAACTGCTGGATAAATAAACATTTTCTAACAAGCTGGTGATATGTAAATATGCAGGTTTAAGAATGTTGTTTTACTGTCGCTAACTGTTCTTCAAACAACCTTCATGCTCGGTTTCTTACACCATATCTGTATGACAAAAGAATTACAACGTTCAGACAGTTTAATTTTTTTTTTTTTTTAATTATTAGAATTCCCTTAATTGACATGGAAAAAAAATGAGGTACTGTGACAAAGAAAAATGAGCCTCTTAATCATGACAACACATTTAGATGATTGCCAAAAGAAATAGGATAGTCATGTGGGACACAACAACCTTTCACATAATCCTATTAAGTGTTTTGACTGGAATCACTTAGAGGACAATCAACTGTATTTTATGTACAGATCTGAGGAGTGTAGGTTGTTTACGAGAAGAGAGCACTGACAGCAGTGAGTGCAGCCCCCGAGCAACATGAGGAAACAGCTGGCCATCAAGTTAAGACGCCTGGTGCCACTGAACAGCTTAGATACCTACGAGGACGGAACAAGCAGATGCAAATATGTTCTCACTTTCTTTGTGACTGCTGTGCCGAGACAGATAGATGAAAACAATATTGTAGAAATGCAAACTAACTACATCCAGAAGATTCCACTACATTGATTTCACCTACCGAACTGAGAACTCACAAAGGACTAAAACATAATTTAGGAGCATCTGACCAGACTTCATTGTTCCTGTAAAGCAATGCAAGCTCACACTTTTAAATATCCTTCTTTAAGTCCATGCAGGAGTCAACTTCAACCACCAGTGCTTCAATAATCCAGTCATATGTTCATGAAATGTATTGTATCAAAACATTTATATGGATTAAATAGTCCACAGATTGCAACAACACAGCCAAAAGTGTAAAAAAAAAAAAAGATAGACATAACAGCACCATTTTTTAACCAAGCCTTAAATACGCCTTCAGCTCTGCATCCACGTCTTCATTCTCACATGCTATTAGGAAGGCAGGAACGAGCTGAATACAGAACCTTTAATGAGCTACACATGTAAACCAACGACTACATCATCCAAGACCTACAGGGAAATAAATAAATCACTTTAATAAAAATGGTAATATAATCCACAACTACGCGCCGTCACTGTCAGGATCAACACGCAACCTCACAACGCCTCTCGGGGGTGTTTAAGCATGATGCTGAGACTCGACTGTTACTGTCAGAAACGCTCATGAAAACAGGGGGAAGTGTGAAGGAGAGTCCAGAGAGAAGCTACAGGACTGTGTGAGAGGGAGGGGGGGGTGATGTGGTTCAGGCTTTTGTTTTTTCTTCGTTGGTGGGTCTGAGTTGTCCCCTTTATGCCTCAAGCTCGAAGCCCATGCCGACTTTGTGTCCACCGGCGTTGAAATTCTTCCCGTCGATCAGGGCTGAGAGGGTGACCTTGACACCTGCAGAGACACAAAACAAGGTTTCAGGTTCAAATTTAAAGAGCTCATGTTCTGCTTTTTGTCTTTTCTTTTTCCTGTATTGTGTTACGCATTTCTTTTTTGTGCATGTAACATGTTTTCAAAGCGAAAAAGCCCAAAGTCCACCCCAAAGGGAGTTCCCATCTCCCACAGAAAACACTGCTCTGGACTGGTAGAAAACAGCTCCACTGTAGTCCAGCCTTTACTTCGTAACCTATCTGAGTCATGTAACACATGTCATAATGCTCGCCTACCGGCTAGTGTGACACGCTCTCAAAAACACCTGTACAGAAACACAATGAGCTGCAGCACACATGTACAACTCTCAACAAAGACTGAATAGAAGAAAGGTGCTTTAAAACAGAGCGTTCATCACACAGGGTGAAAAGAGGAGCAGTCTGACAAAAACATGGTGTTTTTTGAAAATGAAACATGTAAACCTGTTCTGGTACAACCCCTAAATAAAATGATAGAATTAGAATAATTTAATTGCTGTTTGTTAGTGATGCTGATCAAAGTATGAAGGAAAACCAGTAGATGGATTGATTGGCATTTAAATCACTTCTCTGTCAGTACTTCCGAAGTCCTCATAGGCAAGTCCAGCACACTCGGCAGCCATCTTGGCAACGCCTCAGGGCAGCTATTTCGGACTAAAAAGACCAGGCTCCTATCTGAATGAATGGGGAGAGAACTGCACTTTTACTGCCACCGGGACATAAAAAAAGCATGTCTAGAATCAGCAATAAAATCTGAAAAACACTGCTGAAAAAGTTTGCCTCAAAATAAGGTTTAAAAAGCATTTTTCCCAACAGGTTATACTTCTACTACACATGCGTAGTAGATTATGATAATAAAGTTTTATAATGCAGATTTTGATGGCAGCTGAGTTAATAAAGCATCCAATCGGATGACCAATAATCCCCATATCCACTATTTGAACGTTAGGGAAATGCAGTTTGCAGCTCTGATAACCCTGAAATATCTCAGCTGTCTGTGAGAATTATTCATCAAACCAAGTGTGTTTATCAGACCGCAATTTTGTTCTAAAGTTTCCATTAAATTATCAGCTGGATAACTGAGTAAAATTATTTAGTAAATCTTTTCATCTGGAAAGCTCTTTGTGCTTAACCTTGAAAAGTACTTTTTAAATAAAATGTTACTTCTTATTATTATTACTCTTAGTTAGAAACTTTTAGCCCCAACTCTTAGTTGTAACATAAGATACTCAAGTACTCAAGAATGTGGCTGATACAGTTTTGACCTTAGACAAAATATTTGGGTGGATGAGGCGGTTGGGGGCGGAAACCTACCTGGTCGAAGGCTCTGGGTGTAGCCTACTCCGATCAGACTAGCATTGTTCACTTTGGCCTGCGGGGGGAAACAAGATGAGACATGAAACTAAACAGCAAACAAAGCACCTGCCTAATCAAACAGCGCAGTAAACCAATGGTAAATGATCTGTATTTAGAGCGCCTTTCTAGTCTTTCAAACCACTCAAAGATTTACATCCCATTCACACACATTTATGCACAGCTGCCACCAGAAACAGACATCAACTCATTCATACATATTCACACCGATGGTACAGCCACCGAGACATGCAGACAAGGGGAGCCGGGGGTGGAAACCACCGACCTTTTGCCCTCTGAGCTACAGTCGCCCAGTTGGAGCACTTACAGACAGAGAGGCGTCTTTATCCAGCTTGTATTTGGCAGCAATGCCAAAACGAGTGTTGTTGCTGCCGGTCCAGGCCAGAGTGACCGCCGTCTCCAGCTCGTCATTCACCTTCTGGTAGATGGAGCCGCCAAACTCGGTCCCATCGTTACTGAGAGAGAAACAAAGCTAATTCAGAAACATTCTGGTTCAACATTTTAATTACAGCCCTACTAATATTAGGTAAGATTTGTTAGATGTTTAAATACTGGAGAACAGAGACTCAGACTTTCCTCCAATTCTTGCTCTTCTTTTTGTAATTTACTGTTTTAGGAGTCCCCCCCCCCAAAAAAAAAATCTTAAGGCCATAAATGTTGGGAAAGATTGGTACTGGAGATAAAATACATCCATGTTTTAAGCTTTCATACCAGTCTCTTCTGTTTGCCGTGCATGCTTTCAGCTAAAATATTTTCTTTAATCCCAGAGCAAAAATGAGAGCTTTAAAAAAAATAAAAAATAAAAGATAAATGACCCTGATCATCATTTTCTCCCTGCAGAGCCACAGGAGACATTATAAGCACTCCCTATGATTAATAAACTGTATACGATGTGTAAAATCACTGGAGTACTCACACATTGGTGTGTAGCTGGAAGTCCCCAGCCCTGTACCCGAGGGCGAAGTTGTTCTGGGCCAGTTTGGACTTGGCCGTGTCGAAGGCCATCTGGTAGCCGGCCAGCCAGCCCTCGTAGCCCAACACAGCGGCGGCGTGGATGATGGGACCCTCGAAGTCAACGTCGCAGCCCAGGTTCACGTAGTCGCGTTTGTAGCCCGTCTTCAGTTTGCCGCTCTTCTTACTGAAAAATTAGTTTATAGGGTTAAATGTTAGTTCATTTATTTATACTGTCATTTTAAAGTATAAGGGGCGATATTATTATTGTCTCGTGAAAAGATCAAAACTAACAATGAATGTATCACAGCCTGATAATCTTCTTCCTCTGAGCCACAAAGCTCCATTGCTGTCTAAAAACTATTAAAAATGAATGCACTATTTCCTGCTGTTTGTTTGATTAAAAACTGCAGTGAGCAGCTGTTTTAGAAAATAAATGAGACGTTATTGCATATTAAACTATACATTTGTGAGCTTTTTCCAGAGGAAGTTATTATTCCCATACATTAATGTCACATAGTTTTAAAAAGAGATGAGTGAGTCGTTTAACTCCTCAGGCCATTCAGAGAAACGTGGAAACAGCAGCTAATTATTAACAAACAGAGAACCTAGTGGGAGCTTTTTCCACTGTGCTCTGACGTTTGTTTTCCATACCACCAGACCTGGCCCACAGTTCATCCTTTAATGTTTCATGTACTCCACATAAGGCAAAGGTATCACTCATTCATACATGTAGTCTTACCCCGTGTTTGGTACAAAAGACGTGTCCAAGGCCACCTTCAGTCCTTGAGTCAGCTGCAAGTAAAGTAATAATTTAAGTTCATTTTTAACCACATTCCAGACTTTAACAACGTAATTACATCAGTTGCAAAACACTTTGCTCTCACACTCACACACCTGGTCCTCCACGGTGACTTCAGTAGCCAGTGTGTTGTCTGTGTTCCACTTCTGGTTGAAGCTCAGACCCAGCTCCTTCATCTTGTATTTGGTCTCCAGGCTCCCCGAGGCCTTCCCCGTGTCTGTGTTACTGGAGCCAGATGTGTTGAACTCCTGCAGGATGATCAGGAGGACAAATTATTAGTATACGAGAGTCACTACATAATAACGGACAGCCAAAGTGTGTTAAAATAATGGACTGAAGAACTGGGTTTGTGTAGATTATTGCAGAAAAAAAGAGAGACCTGAAAAACCAAGGAGAAAAAATAAGAATAGACCCAACTTAACTATAGAGAGCCTGAGTCCCTCCATTTCCTGTGGACCACCATGGGACCTTATTTCAGATAAAGTATGTCCAGTAGTCAACGGCGAGAGACAACTAATGTTTGATCCCGTTTGAATGGTGCCCTGAATTACACACGTTTGTCAATTTAAAATATAACTTACTGAAAGTCAAGAAAGTCTCAGTTTGTCGTAAAACTGTTGATGTAATAAAAATACATAATTAGAAAGACCACAGAACACAAAAGTCGCATATGTGACGTTTTTACTTTCATTATCGATTAATCTGATTCACACTTTGTGTAATAGTTGCCAACTAATCAATCAATCAACTAATCGTTGCAGCTCTAGTCATAACCGTTTCTCTCAATGACTGAAGCTAACGTCACTGAAGCTAATGTCAAAGAGCTTCCATGTGTAGATGATGTTATGAAAAGACCGGGAGTCGTTGGATTAAACACATCAGGAGAGAAACGTCTGTGCCTGGAACATAGCTAAGTAGCCTAGCTAGGAGCAAGCAAACAATGACCGTTAGCTTAACATTACAGCGCTAACATGTCGGTGACGTATATTGTGCGAGACGAGAGTTCACTAAAAACTGTTTTACGACAAAATTAGACTTTCTTACAAACTTTAAATTGACAAACATCATGTGTGTAATTTGGGACACAATTCAAAGACGATTAAACGAAAGGTGTCGTCAACGTTGACTACCATGCATATTTTTTCCGAAATGTGGTCCCATGGGGCGGAAGCAGAAGGGAGGGACTAAGGCTCTCTATTATTTAACTGTTTAGAAATAAAACAAAAATATCAGATGCGTATAACACTGTACATATCAGACAAGACATCTGACAGGCAACTGTGAGACAACCAGACATCCTGAACATTAATCCAAGCAAGACAACATTAACATGTGATGGACAGAAAAACACACCAGTAGGTTTGAAAATGATACAACTAAAGGCACTAACTCTTAAATGTCACTGTGACAAAGCCAAAGCACATATGGTTAAAAACACAGACAAAAGGTGCAAAAAAAGTTCCTGTATTTGTCCAGTAAACTAGCACCTCCTGATTTAGCATGCAATCATTAACCATTAGCTAACTAGCAATAAACGCAAAGCACCCCTGACCATGGGAATGTCCTTAGTTTTGCAGGTACTTGGTCATAAAAAGTATTGGACAATTTTATTTTGAGTTGATGATGGTGCTAGAAAATAAAACATCAGAATATCAAAGTGATTACAATTCATCCTCTGGGGAACACAGCAACCCATCCAATGGCTGTGGAGATATTTTAATTTAATTTAAAGACATAAAAAGTCAACCTCATGGTGGCGCTGGAGGACAAGTCAGAGGGTCACTATAGTCTTTAGAAGAGAAAATGAGTTTGAGATGACTGCGGCTGACTTTCGCAGACTTGATAGTCTAACCTGAGCTGCAGGCGACTGCAAGGGCGAGGAATAAAACGGCGCCGTCAAGTCAGACACATTCTACCTGCGTGATCCTACTGTGAGCTGAGATCACTGACTGACCTTGCGCCATTTTTCTTTGCAAGTGCCGCGAGACCAAGCAAAGTGTGGCTCCAACTTTGTGGAGCTGGAGAAAAGCAACCTGCACTCCTGCATTATGGAAAATTTGAGTTTGGATGGCAATTTAAATGTGATAAATTAGGGAAACTTCTTTATAGTATTTATAAATTAGGGTTGGGGCTTTATTGGTGATGACCAACTTTTCACTATTTTCTAATATTTTAAATATAATATAAATAATTTCATAATCTGCAGATTATTTGATAATGAAAATGTAGCCCTAAACTACGGACGACCGACACATTAGACTCACAGAAATTGTCCACAAAGAAATAAAATTCACAAGTAAACGTTCTGAATGAGACTGAAGTGACAGAACGTGGACAGTAATTGACACACTGATTTTCATGCTGTATGAATAAATATAAAAAACAATAGAAGAACAATGTGGAAACATGGAAACAACATGATGGTGAAGAATAAATAGCTGTCAGCTCTGACTCCGATCTTACCATCTACATTAGAGCGCGAGCAGTCCAGTACAGCAGCATGGAGACAGAGCAGCGGTTAGGAAAGGCAGGTAGAGAGACAGACAGGCCACAGAACAAACACAGGTTTGTCATGTTTCTCTACAACAAACCACAGCTTCAGCAAAGCATCGCTCGTCAACCTAGAAATCCTCAAGCTCGGGGTTAGAGGATTCAGGAGGTGAGTTATTCAGGTGTGTGGAGCGGTTTTATCTTGGGGGTACTGGTGCAGTGATGGGATTAGAGAGTGCAGCAGGTAAGACAGGTACGGCAGGGAGGTGGGCCGTGCAGAAAGCATCCAGGTAATGACAGCAGGTTAAAGACAAACAAAACTGGTTTCCTCACCACTCCACTTTGTGATTTGGTCTTGAGGTCCAGCTTCACAACACCAAAGCCTGGTGGATTTCAAAAGACAGAGTTGTGTGTTAGAGGTAATTAGCCAGATAAAAGAAAATCAATCAAATACACAAATATTTAGGAATAGTTCAACATTTTTGGAAATCTTTCAGTTTTTGTATGAAGAGGTATGACATGTTAATTAGAGAGCTTTAGAAGTGGTGACATGCCAATATTTATTTATTCTTTTTAGCCAAGCTGGCTGTTTGCCCCGTTTCCTGTCTTTATGCTATGCTAAGCTAATGTTCTTGGCTGGCTGCAGCTTCACGTTTCAAGAAAACATGTTAGGGTAGTATTAATCCTCAAAATGATTGTATGGTTTTTAGACGCAATGACAATAAAGGCAATTCTATTCTCATCTAAAGGCCAAATTATACTTCTGTGTCGAGTCTACGCTGCAGCCTACGGCGTCGTCTACCTACATAGTCACGCTGCTGTGAGCATTTTTACCTGTGCGTTTTGGTCTATACATCGCTCTGCAGTTACACCGCCAATTAATTGGGTTTCTACGTTCCACTGTGTTGACATCTGCTGGTGAGCTGGATAATCTCCGGTTTAGCCCTCCGCTAACTTGAATGGGGGTAAAATGATAATCGTGCGACTTTCTAAATGTTTTAGTCCGAGTGGATAAAATTACCCAGGGTTGTTATGCCAAAAACACAATTTATCCACCGTTTTACAGCCGCTTCTTTCACAGTATAAGTCTATGAGACTCTGTCTGGTTTGGCCACTAGTACTTCCTGAAGGTTATTGATTATTTTTTTCCCCTCTTTGAAAATTGACTGGGTTGCTTTGTCTTCTTTTTCTATGCTGGCGACTAACACGAGGTAAACGAGCTGTGCTTTATGTGGACAGTGAGATTTCTCTGGTGTTCGTCTGACAGGCAGTGGGCAGATGAGACGACCTTTAATTCTGGAGTAGTCCTTTGATGCCTGATGGCCGGTCTGTGTTTTAAGTCTGCCTTGTTACATCTTCACAGTAACGACTCCAGCTGGGGTCAACACATGTGCGATGTCAAGTCAATTAAGAATCGTAATTTGATTCAAGGGGCTGTACAAACCCAGACCCTTGATTCGAATAAGGAAACCCCCTTAGAAAAACAAATGGCCCAATCTATAACATAAAATTATTAAAATAATTGATTTTCTTTTGATCGAATAACTGATGCAGGTCTTTGAGTCTCCCTTTAATGTCTCTTGGTGCATTAGGCATTAGTGGGCAGTGCTTTAAATCAATTAGCAGAACTCATTTATGGTATATGGTGGATCAGGTTTGAAACACACCCACTCCTGTCCGGTTAACCTACCCATTAACGATCACACAGTTCATTTTCCAGTAACATATATTACATTAGAATATGCTGTGATATAAAATTTTTGGTAACCTTTCTATCGTTTGCTTTGCAGATTGCCTTTACTGCCACCAATATTAAGCATTTTCATCAATGCATTATGTGAACGCTGGAGAAGCTCTGTGTTTCAGGAATTCCTAACAGTTAATAATTTACTCTTTGGGCTAAAACAGCACTCACCATAGCCTTTGCTGAATATATCCTTGGCAGCCTTGCCCAGGTCTGAGTATGAAGGAGGGACAGCCATCGTGCTGAAGAAGATAAAAGTCAGTGATGTGATCAGAAAGCAGGTTTTCTACACAGGTGTTGTACTGATTTAGTGCTATTGTAAAGGACATGATCACCAGAGGAGAGATTCACTTTTGAGCCCACAAAGCAGTCAGCATTGAAGGAGATCCCACCCACCCCTCACACAGCCTCTAAAAGGTACCGAAGTCCACCAGGCTGAGGAACAGTTCCACTCATCAGGCTGTTGGGAGGCTGAACACTTTCCCCGCCATCTGTCCCAAAAGTCTAAACTGCAAGAAATACTAATTTGACATTTATCCTGATGATTATTGATATCAAATGATTCGAAGTAGGAATGCACCGAATTGTTGGCCACCGAAATTAATCGGCCAAAAATAGCAAAAAAAGCCCTTTTGGTGTTCGGCCTAATAAGTCAAAAGACCGATTAAATTTTACCAAACAATCACGTTGACATGTCGGCAGTGTGGAGCATTTTAAAGTGTCAGTGTCAATTTAGCGCAAGTATAATGGATTTTGTTCGGTTTTCAAAATAAGGTGTCTATAAAGTATGGAAATAAGATTAATTGGATTATATTCACAGAAAGTATAACACATGTTACATGTGTCCATTAAAAGTAAATCGACACATGTAATTTACTTTACCAGACCCTGTTGGGCCTCGGACCCACCCACCACAGTCTCTCCAAATCCCGTGGGAAACAATGAGTAAAAAGCACATTTTGATTATTTAATTTATGCAGAGGTAAAAATTGGCAAAATAAATAGAAAAAATGTGAATGTACTTTTTCAGTATTCGGCAGTATTTTTCTTTATATTCGGTTTCGGCCAACAATTTTCATTTCGGTGCATCCCTAATATGAGGTTTTTTATCCTGATAACATTTTTGGTATCGCCCAACCCTACTACAAAGGAACAAAAACTACAAAACACAAAACTAAAAAATAAACTGCTGCTATCTGCCTATTTGCACCTTTGCACTGAGGACAATTATTTATATTAGACAATTCTGACACTGGAGTTTGTCGTATTTTTGTATTGCATTATCAATGGGTCATGAAAGAGACATCATTTTAATCCTCTGTGTGCCTTGTGCATGGCAGAATTGACAATAAAGTTGACTGTGACTTTGAGTCTTCCAGGATGCTGCACCACTATCAAAGCCCATTCTCAACGAAGGCAGTTGGTAAAAATCATATATACCACCAAACAATACAATAGCTATCATTTAATTGAACAGTCAAGTCTCCCTGGGAGCTCCAGCAGAAGGGAACAAGCTGTTCCTTTACAGGCAGCTGGGGAGCTAATAACTAATGGTCTCAGCATCTGGCTGCAACAAGAAGCTACTGTGGCACATACAGAGTCAAGCAACAAAAAATAAATTTAAGCTTGTATACATGTGTGCAGAAATGTACACAGAAAGACAGAAATTGCTAAGCTAGCAGATGTTCAAGCATCAGAACAAAAAGGTCTCAACATATCTCAAGGTTGTTAAAAATAAAAAAATAAAAAAATGGGCCCTGGTGATGCTGCTGTTAGGACAAATCTGCAAGAGATGGAGCTTCCCAATTAAAAAATAAAGACAGGCAAGTAAGAGACAATCTTTTCTGCCTTAACAAAAGGTTGGTGCAGCTCTTATTAGGGGACAAAGGACAGCAGATGGGCCAGTGAAAGAGGTGTGGGGGGTTTGACAGCTAGCTAGCTGCCGTGTGAGCTGCAGTAACAAGCTAACTGAGCTAACTAACATTAGAAAGAAAAGGATAGGACAGACAGACAGACACCGGCTAAATGTTAATATTCGTGTTCATAGTAACGTTGCTCTGCCTGTCCCCCTAAACACATCACAAACACACCCCTCAGCAGCCAGCTAGTCACACACGCAGCTGATAAAGTTGCTAAATGCGTAGCTAACGTAAGTTATTTTTTTATTTATTTATATCTCTGTACTATCACACAGTAAACCTACAATGCAAGGATTAAACTGTGCATTTCAAGGCTAAACATCCTTACATAACAGACCGTTAGCTAAATCGCTGAACATGCTAGGTGTGTGGCTAACCTTGGAGAGAAACGTACCGTTATCAAAGAAGGAATTAATAACGTGCATTATCATACAGGTATTATAAAGCTCATAGCTGTATTTGACATTAACTAGCGTTGTTTGGTTCTTCTTACCCGTGCAAATGTGTTTGTAAGGGGAGTTTGCAGAGCCTTGAGTGTCCCTGGCGTGATGCTGCTGGGCGGACTGACAGCTAGCGTAGCTTAGCAGAGGGACAGGGCACAATGAAGGAGACCTACGGAGCATGCGCAGTGTGAGTGCGCGATGCGAACAAAGAGTAGATACACAAGCAAGATTTCATCCACGCGACCAGAATCAGAATCAGCTTTATTTGCCAGGTGTGTGTACACATCCGAGGAATTTGACTCAGGATTGTACATTGCGTACGATGAGCTTACTGAAACAATAAGACAATAATAAAAGCGATGAGCACGAACTAATCCGAGAATGTTACAGGAATATAAAACGTTTTTAGAAGGAATTCGGATACAGAAATTACTCAAGAAACGTTTATCGGCCATACAGAAAAGTTTCTTTATTTATTTACACAAAGCTCCGAGTGCAGGGGCCCCTGACCTTGTGGGGCCACACCTTTGTTGCTGACCTGCTTGTGGCACAGGGGAAAATATAACTCGTGTGAATGTAGCTCATGTGTGAAATTATATTTAATATATTACTGCATCCCAGTGGTGGACAGGAAGTAAGTGCATTTACTTAAGTACAAATTCGAGGTATTTGTACTTTACTTTTCATGCCACATCCTGCTTCTACTTCAGTACATCTCAGAGGGAGATGGTATGCTTCACTACATTTATCTGACAGCTTCAGTTACTAGGTGCTTTACAAAATAAGATTTTTACACACAAAACGCAAAGGTTTTAACAATATGATGTTTTGTTATAAATTAAACATACCAACAGTTTGTACAAGTACAGACAATACATTTGTTGACTGACATGAAACATTTCATGGTTTTAGCTTCGCAAATGTGAAGATTTGCTGCTTTTCCTTTTGATTATTTTAATGTTAGTTTAATCATTTTGAGGTTTGGACTGACATAACAAGCATTGTGAAGGTGTCACTTAGGGCTCTGAGTAATTGTTACAACATTTTTCACCATTTTCAGAATCTTTACAAATCGATTAATGGAGGAAATAATAAAGACACATCCTACTAAAATGGAAATAGTTAATAAATACTATTTCCATTTTAGTAGCATCTAAATAATATATACTACTATTTAGATAGGCTTCTAGTATCTATTGATTCGTTACTAGTAATTATTCCAAAAGATACTAGTAACATTGTAATTCTTACTAGTAACTAATGGAATAATTACTAGTAACAAATAAATAAGTACTACATTTACATTTACTCATTTGGCAGACGCTTTTATCCAAAGCGACTTACATTTGAGGAACATACAAGCATCAACAGAGCATCTACTACAGATCTACAACTGACAATACATACTAGTAAGAGCAGCAATAAATACTAGTAAGAGCTCACAGTACATATCACATCAATGGGGTAAATAACTAGGGAAGGAAGTAAGAGTTAACAAAAAGTGCAATCAAAACAAAAAGTGCAATCAATACAAGATCATTGTAGGGGATAGAAGAAGAAGAGCACAGGAAGTGCATGTTAGAGGTTATGAGTTAGAGGAAGTGTTCTCGGAAGAGATGAGTTTTCAAGAGCTTCTTGAAGTTAGAGAGGGACGCCCCTGCTCTGATGGCGTTTGGTAGCTCATTCCACCATCGTGGTGTCACAGATGAGAATAGCCGGGACTGGGATTGCTTTGTGTGAAGGGATGGCAGAGCCAGGCGGCGTTCGTAGAGGCCGAGAAGGAACGTAAGTTTGTATTATGGAGTTTAGGTAGATGGGAGCAGACCCAGTAGTCACTCTGTATGCAGCATTAGTGACTTGAATTTGATTCTGGAGGCCACGGAGGTCACTGAGTAATGGAGTGACATGCGTCCTTTTGGGCTGATCAAAAACCAGACACGCTGCTGCGTTCTGAACCATTTGTAAGGGTTTCACCGCACAAGCTGGGAGACCTGCTTGGAGGGCATTGCAATAGTCCATGCGAGAGATAACCATGGCCTGTACCAGAAGCTGGGTGGCGTACTGAGTGAGGTAGGGCCTGATTTTCCTTATGTTGTATAGAGAAAAGCGGCATGACCGAGAGACAGTAGCAACATGGTCTGAAAAGGACAGCTGGTCATCAATCATGACACCCAAGTTTCTCACCACCTTGGTTGGAGTGATGGTTGCGGAGTCAATTTGTAGTTTGATGTTATGGTGGATAGATTGCTTGGCTGGAATGACCAAGAGTTCAGTCTTAGAGAGGTTTAGTTGAAGGTGGCAAGCCTTCATCCATGCAGATATGTCTGATACAGTCCGTGGGATCACCTGGCGGGAAGTATAGGTAGAGTTGCGTATCGTCTGCGTAGCAGTGGTAAGAGAAGCCGTGCGAGCGAATCGGCCCCAGTGAGGTGGTGTAAATTGAGAAGAGAAGGGGCCCAAGCACTGAGCCTTGGGGCACCCCTGTGGAGAGGCAGTGGGAGGAGGATAACTGTCCTTGCCACAAAACATTGTAGGAACGCCCCGAGAGGTAGGATTCGAACCACAGGAGTGCTTTACTCGAGATGCCCATTGCTGAGACAGCGGATAGCAGGATCCTGTGGTTGACTGTGTCAAAGGCAGCTGATAGGTCAATCCTGCTTGACCTAGTATCTAAATCCTAATTAATATTTAACAGCTAATTTGCATTGTTGAAGATATGTTGTGAGTTAGAGATATCTTGTGTCCGAATAGTTACTAGTAACTTATGAAATAGTTAATAGTAGGCCTAACTAAAAATTAAGTACTAGTATCTAATCAATTATTACTAGTAAAAGGGGAATAATTACTAGTAATTAATGGAATGGTTACAAGTAACTAATCAATAAGTACTAGTAGTTTTCTAAGAGCGACTAGTAAGTTTTAAAGAATGTGAAATGTTAAAAAGGGCTTTTATCAGAGATTATATCTGAACTGCAGAGCCCCTTATTTAAATGCCATAAAAATGTGCAATTAGTGTTTAGTAAAAAAAAATAAACAAGTTACTAGTAACTGGAATAGTTACTAGTAACTAATAAATAAGTTCTAGCAGCTTTTATATGGTGACTAATAAGTTTTAAGGAATACATTTTAAAACTGCTTGCCATACAATATCGCCCTCTGAGATGTAGTGGAGTGAGAGAAGAGTCAAGTAAAGGACCCAGGTAGTTTTTATGTATTTCTCTGCAGGAGTGGGGTGAGAAACAGCGCCCGCTACAGGCTGCATGTCGCATTTTAAAGTGGGCCAGAAACTTTGCAGCAACAACCTGGCAGACAAGAAGCTTTATTGCGGCGCTTTGCAGAGAACCTCTCCGGTCCTCCTTAAATGTTTGTGACAAACATGGCGTTTTTCCGCGTCGGGGGGGGAAAGTGTCGTGGCCTGCCCCGCCCTGTGTGAACACACTGACTCGACGCTATCAGCCTCCCTGTGTGCCACGGAGGGAGCTCTCACTGTGAAAAGTACAGCAAGCCTCTCATCAACATCTCCAGGTCAGGAGCAAAAGTCCAATGGTCAGCACCGCCCGCCTGCCTTCCTGCCTGGCCTTTGAATGTTTGCATCGCTACTCCTGCTCAGAGCACCCACACTGCATGAGGGCTTGACCGGGTTTAAAGCAGATCCGCATTGATTTAGAAAAGTTAGGCCGGTGAATCGCAGTCATGTCTGGACAAAATAGATTCGTGAGCCCGTTTCACAGACCCAAGTGTTTGGCCGCTGCAGCTCCGGCGGGGAAAGCCAAACTCACGCACCCTGGCAAGGCTATTCTGGCAGGTAAGAAAAGTTTGCGTGGGACTGTGGGGAGTACGTGTCTCTGCCAAGGCGGCTGGGGAACTTGTTTACAAGTTCTGGCACTGAACCTTAATGAATATGCAGATGTTTATCAGGGGGCCTCGGCTGCAGCACTCTTTTCTAAAAGTACATTCGGTTAAATGCACTGCAGGCAGGATAAAGTGGGGTTGATCATCTTAAAGACTCTCCTTCTCATTGTGGAAGCGAGAGTCAAACTTTCTGCAATGCCTTGGTCCTGCAGCCTGTCAGAAGTCTCAGGACAGATCCTGCGCTCAGTAAAACTTGGGGTTGGACAGGACCCCAAACCCCAAGTTCCTGGAGGATGGACAGGCTGGTGTGTGTGTGTTTTAAACAGCGTGCCACATGTCCTTTTCGAAGAAACCAGACTGACATGAACTCTGACTACCTGCCCTTCTTATTAGTCAATCAATGACAGGTGCTCAAACTCCACACAGAGCAGAGTAAATACTACAGGGCAACGATCAGTGGCGACATTGCATCATCAAGAGGACGTAATAAAGAGCTGACAGCTGAATTTACCAATCAAAAGCAAAAGCTTTGTCATAACTGTACTTTACTGTCAGCTGTTTAGTTGGTGTCCTAATACAGTGTCCTCAGAGGCCCTGGTCTCCATGTTCAGCTGCAATGAGCCAGGATGACAAAGCAGATTGCTCTGTCAGCCTCTGCACACATGTTACAGGGTTACGACACGCTTGTCACATGTTTACTACAGGACCTTTTGCAATGGGCTCACACTGTCAAGGTGAATTTCCATGCTGTTTCTTATTCACTCAAGGCCAGATGTGCAGTAAAACTGCAGTAAGGAAGGGTATTTTAGTCCTAATAATAGAGAGTATGTGGTCAAAAATCAGATAAAGAAATGCACTTTCATTGAGCTTATAGGATGACAAAGCATCTATCAGGAAGTCACAAGAGAATAATAAAGGCTTTATAACACCATTAACTGTGCACACAGCTTAGTAAATACATTGTTGTTTTTATTTTGGTCATATACACAAAAAAACAACAAGACATTTGGGGAAATGCACGTATCAGCTGTCTGGTGTAATGTAGAATGAGAAGATTAATGCCACTCTCACACCTGTCCATTAAATATGAAGCTAAAGCCAGGTGACAGTTAGCGTAGCTTAGCACAAAGACTGGGAACATAGGGAAACTGCTAGCGTGGCTCTGTCACAGCAAGTCTCAGGGCCTAGCCAAGAAATATTCCAGCACATTACATCTTGTAGTTATTACACTTTGATTTTGTTACCATTAGACGGAGCGAGGTTAGCTGTTTCCCCCTGTTTCCAGTCTTTATGCTAAGCTAGGTTAATTGTCTCCTAGCTGTAGCTTCACATTTTTATCTTGTCAATCTTTTCATCTAACTCTGCAAAAAATAGGGAAACATGTCCCAAAATTTTCACACAAACATTATCTAATCCGTGACAAATACTAGCATTACCTTAGCCTGTGAATACTATAAATGTACACTATTCTAGTAATTAACATAACATATATTAACATGTATTATTGTATTATTGTATTATTATTAATGTTATAGTAAGGCTAAAGTAAGTAAGTACAGTTTAGTTTAGGACCTTTTCACAGAGTGCTCACAAAGTGCTTTACACAGTAAAATATTAGAAAAAAGACAACAATAAAACGTGAGCAACAACACCTGCCAGTCACATTTGGTCTGAAGAACTACAGGCTGATTTACTACTTCAGAGCTTTGTGCAAATATAAATTAACATATACGTAGAAAATAAACATTGACAGGTTAAAGATTCAGCAGCAAACAGCCCTCTCCCCCACACTCACTTTCTAAAAACCTGTGTCTGTACATGTCGGACTCGATAAACTGGCTCTTTATCGTTTTCCAGCTTGAATACAGGGATGTAATGCAGGTACAACATGGAGGATTGTTTGCAGATGATGATGATGTGGACTGTTTTTTTTTTTTTTTTTTTTAATTCAAGCTTAATTAGTAGGTCGAGCTTCAGCTTGTGAAGTCAGTCTGTCTCTAACCAAAGGAATGCCGGGGTGTGCCGTAACCAGCACTTTAACGACTCCGGTTTAGTCGCCAAGATGCTCTGGATGTTGTTGTGCAGAGGTTTTCAAAGCACGCGTTTAAAAGAGAGTTCAGAGATTGTAGTTTTGGGGAAGTTTACTGTCTTTCCCATCATTCAGAAACAATCATCCTTATGACATTTGTTATATTTGATGTAGTCTAAGGATTTGTTAAACAGTAATATTAGGCTATCATGGCTCAAGTGTTGGGTGTGTATGGGATCAAATGACATGATCCTGGTCCCGTAGATATCTAATTGAGTGAAACTAAGTAAGTAAGCTAACAGGTTGTGAGGTGGCGCCTTTTTCTAAGCTTTGTCTGAGGCTCAGACTTTGAAAACCCCTGTTCTGGCGAAAACAATAATTTATTTAACTGTAATCTTATGATTGCACGAGCAGCACGGCTTGCATGCATGAGCTCAGACTAGAACCGCTGGTGTGTTGGGTTTCTGTTTTTGTATGTGTGATGTTACCATTTTACAGTTACTCTATTTTTAAGGCCTTTGTATCTTTAGTATCTGTTTGAATTCAGGAAGATATCAGTAGAGGCCTGGGTGTTACCAGGATAACTGATCAAACCTGTTGTTTTGCACTAAAAGCTGCACACCTGCTGTGCTTTTTTGACAGAACGCTCAAGTTTCTTTTCTAACTTGTCTCTTCTGAACACATCAGCGGATTCAGACTACTCCCTGACTGCTAGTCCCTGTTGCTGCAGGGTGATGAGCTCTGCTGGCTACACACCCCCTTCAGTTGGAGTCAGGCCAGGGGGAGAAACTGTAGGCAGACGCCGAGCCAATCAGATGCTGGCTGCGTGTTTGCTGTTGAACTGCAGATGGGTGACAGACGGGGTTTTAAGGTGGCGCTGTCTAAATACTGTATCGCAGGCGTGGACACAAACGCAAACTTCCTGCTTGTTAATGCATCTTCGTGTTTATTTGCATTTTATGCTTTATGTGAAGCACCTTGTATTGCATCTTTATGTTTATATTTCACATCACCAAGACTTTTAAGTCTCGTCTTAAAACGCATTTTTATCTGGTTTTTAGTTTTTATTTTCTATTGTATAACTTTTTTCAACACATTGGTCAGCTTCGGTTGTTTTTAAATGAGGTTCATAAATAAAAACTTGAATTGACCTGAAATGTGCTATAAAAATAGTTTATTATCAGTAAAATTGTGAAAAGATACTGTGGGAATATTGTGGAACTACCTTTAACATACAGGACTAATTGTTTCGGCCTATTAAAACCAAACTTTGTAGTTTGTGAAACAAGTTTTTGATTGTACAAATAATAATAACAATAATAATAATACTTAAATACAATTTTATGCATTGCAAATAGATCATACATTCTTATGAATAGTGCACAATAGTCAAAGAAAGTAATATTTGTAAAGTAGATTAGATAAAGAAAAACGTGGCTATACTTTCTGCCTGTAAGAGTTTGGTGTGTTGATGCAGTTTTATAAATGAATGCCTCTTTCTCCCTGAAATGCACTTGTGTAGTGTTGACTGAAATAAACATTAAAATGTTTCCGCCTACAGAGTGTTTTTGCTATTGTTTCAGGTGGGATAGCAGGAGGCATAGAGATCTGCATCACCTTCCCCACAGAGTACGTTAAAACGCAGCTGCAGCTTGACGAAAGGGCAAATCCTCCCAAATACAAAAGCATCGGTGAGTTTCTGTTCACTGTCTGTTTATATCTTACCTGAACTGTAAAATCCAATGCAGTCTAAAACAACAGTTCGGCCGTACAAAGATAATAATGTTCTGTTTTGATTGGTATTGTCAGAGAGGTATTATTATGTTTAATACCGAGGTTGTAGTTTCTAGACGATATCCTGTTTTAGAATGTGGAAATCTTAATGTTTGTTATACTTTACTTTTTAATACATTGATTTTTGCATCTTAAACTATCTCTGGCTTTTTAGTTATCATTTTCTAATTAGAGCTGCCACAGTTAAATCAGTTTTCAACTATTAAATTAATTGCCAACTTTTTTGATAACAGATTAAGAAGTTTGAGTATTTTTTTAAGAAACAAAAGAAGAAATTTTTCTGATTTTGCTTTCTTAAATGTGAATATTTTCTCTTTTCTTTAGTCCTCTATGACAGTAAACTGAATATCTTTGGCTTGTGGACAAAACAAGACATTTAGGAATGTCATCTTGGGCTTTGGGAAATAGTGATTGACATTTTTTAACCATTTTCTGACATTTTATGGACCAAACAAGTAATTGATTCATTGAGAAAATTATCAACAGATTAATCAACATTGAAAATAGTTAGTTGCAGTCCTATTTTGTCATATTTCTTAATCCCAGCAATTGAATATCTGTCTCTGATTGATGGACTGTATAAACACCAGGGATACAACAGTGGAAATAAAGTTCTAACCCTGTAAAATTGTAATGTTGTATTTTAGAAATTAGTTATTTAGATATAGTGGAACGTCGTTGATAAAACCAATTAAATAAGTCATTCGTCATTCTTTCATGAGTTGCCATGATTAGATCTACTACATTATGAAGTGACTGTTTCGAGTATAAATGGTGTCTACAGATCCTGCATCAGCTCACAGTTGATCAGTGGTCCATACTGAGTTAATCAGCAGCTGTCTCACTGAACTCAACTGAAGTTTAAGATCCAAAGTTTAGACTCTACCTTTAGTAACAGCCCATAGTAACTTGAGACATTGTGTTGGTGCAGATTTGAGTTCAAACAAGTGTGTATTTGCGTAGTTAAGTCTTTGTTATCTGTTCGATGACAGCTTGTGAACTTTGGCATAGATCGTGTTTACTCATGGAAGCTTAGTATGACGGGCTGTTGTTTTGAGCTGCAATAGACACGCGTGAAACCCAGAAATTCACATTTATCGTCTTTTAACTTGAGACATAGCTAAGATTTTCACAACTAAGCAGCTGAATATGGTGCCCGAGTGAGCTTTTGTTAGCAGCAGTGCAGAAGTCTTTTGATACGGATGCAAGAAATCATTGTTTTGTAATCTTACTTGTTTCTCCTTCCGTCATTCATTCCCTTCGGTTTCTCCTGCAGGTGACTGTGTGAAGCAGACGGTGAACAGTCATGGGGTGAGGGGTCTTTACAGAGGTCTAAGCTCACTGCTGTATGGCTCTATACCTAAAGCAGCTGTCAGGTACAGAAACCCTCCAACCTTACACTCATGAGCACACACAGACACAACCTTTATGAATGTCTTATTTCCAGTATACCTCCACTGTGATCTCAGATGTGGCTGCTAGATGTGTAAAACAAAACTTCAGTATTGATTGTCTGGTACCACAAAGCACCCTTTATAAAGTGTTCTAGCTGTAGAAGTACCATTAGTTATCAAGCAAAATGCCATTCAGTCTCTGGTTCCAGCTCCCCAAACAAGAGGATTAGCTGTTTTTTTCTGTTTATATTACTATGAATAGTAATAATAATCTTTGGGTTATGGATTAGTAGCTTTGGCTCTGGGTTATTGGTGATGGAGATTTTCCAAGTCTTCTCATATTCTGTACAGTTAATTAAGAGATTAATCAAAAACAATCGTAGACACATCTATCAAAAAAAAATAAATATTGTAATCACTTCTAATCATTTGTAATATTTGTTCGTGGTTGATAAACAATTTATAAATGCTTAAAGATGGTTATTAAAGTCATCAATAAGAACCAGAGCTGCAACTAACAATCGTTTGCCTAATAGATCATATTTAGTGAATAGATTCATTGTTTCATCTAAAAAATGTCAGAAAACATTAAAACAATGTCCATCGCAAGTTTCTGAATTCCAAGGTGAAATTAGTTGTTTAATTATCAGAACAGTTACTGATTATCTTTATATTAATCGATTAAGTGATTAATTGCAAAATCGTTTCAGCTCTAATAAGACGGTTGTTTGGGTTGCCAGGTCGTTTAAATGTGTAAACCATTTGGCTGGTCTTTATCCTTCCATTTGGTGACTACCAAAATAATATATTTTGATAAATAAATAAAGGGTCCAACCACAAAAGGGATCTTTTAACAACCTGGCAACCCAAAAGTTGTGCTTAAGCCGTACAAAGCCACTACAACTTATAAACCCTTTATAAAGGATGCCTTATTAGAAAGTGATACAGATTATTTCATATTTTGAGTCATTCATCTTTGTGCTAACGTCTACAGGTTTGGGATGTTTGAGTTCCTCAGTAATAAGATGCGCGATGAAAACGGTAAACTAGACAGCAAGCGAGGATTCCTCTGTGGCCTGGGGGCTGGAGTGGCAGAAGCTGTGTTTGTAGTCTGTCCCATGGAGACAGTTAAGGTAAAAAAAAACCCAGCATTATTAAACATGCGATCCATTGTACTAAAATACAAATAATATGTCTATAGCTGTTTTGCAGACTGCAGCATTACTCCAAGCATTATTGTTTGCAGAAATCTGCATGCCTCAGATGTTATTTATCATCTCTGTTTTGATTCTTTACACTTATTGATCATTTCATTATGTCATTGTAGGTCAAATTTATCCATGATCAGACATCAGCAAAGCCAAAGTACAAGGGCTTTTTCCACGGGGTGAGGGAGATTGTTAGAACTGAAGGTAAGGAGGGTTTCTTCATTCCTGAAGGGTTAGTTGGATTTTACTGCCACCTACTGTTTCACTCCACCACTCTTCGTCTTACCATGTGTTTGAGTCCTCACATCCATCATGTAGATAATATATTTCTTCTTCAGCCTTATTCCTCCTGAAAAGTTCATTAACAATTATGATAATTATTGCGATATAATTTGTTATTTTCAGTAACAATATACAAATGTTCAATAAAATGTTTGATTTAATTCATGATGATTTAATTCATATGAATCATGAATCTAATTTTTCTATTAGTATATTTATTTTGTTGAGGAAAAGGCACTGAAAAAAGATTTTCCTTATTTTTACTCATGCATTTGTTGAAAAAAGATTTTTTTATCATAATTGTTTGTTAGTGATCCAATGTTTGGCATCAAGTGTTGTTCTGACCACAAAGAAAAGTTTAAA